AATTTGCGGTAACGATAAGGAAAAAAATAACAGAACAACATACTATTAATGATTGCCGCTTCTTAACAACAGTGTTTTTATTATCAGTGTTAAAAAGGGGTTAAATCATGAAAATAAATTCAGATTTGACATACATTTACAAAACAGGAGTTACTTGCGCCATCATCACGTACCTTCAAAGCCTGCTGATATTTGGCTGTGTGTTTTAGCTTGAGATGGTAAAACTTAATCGCTGTGTTTGTGAAACCACCTCCACACCACAGAGGTAGCTCCCTTTTTTGGCACTAGATCCTCGTTTGAGGAAAAAGTTGATGCTACTGTGCTGCACTCGCTCGCCGGCATTATGCAGTAGGTAACGTCATACGTCACCGTGTCCCTACAGTGTAAATACCGCGATATGACAAATTTATATCACCAAAAAAAAGTACACTAAATCACTACGTACCATCTTGCTGAAGAATGCCGATATTTTCAATTGGGGTGTTGAACATTCGGGGACAGTTCGGTGCTCCATGACCAGTTTTTTTAATTTTTTGCAGGCGGAAAACATGATGGAAAGGAGCCAGGACCCTGGTATGTCAAAAGCATCCTGCGCAAAACTCGCAGGGTACGAGCGGCAAGCACTCACAACCAGAATACCAGAACTAATGGTGCTGACATGCGGTACCTCTTAACTACCCAGCACTGCATATTAGCACGCGAGCATGTTGTGAGAGACAGAGAGCGGAGAGCCGTGCCAAAAACACTATATGGGAAACACTGGATATGGCACACCCCTAACTCGAACAAGCTCATTTTAGATCTAAAGGTAAGTAAACACCTAGAAAACAGTCAAAACTGAACACAGTATATCTTACATGGCTATAAGCAGAATTGCAGCATCTGCGAGTAACAATGTCAAACTGGCGTTGTAACTCTAGCAGAGCTAGCACCACCAGCCGTAAGGTCTTCTTGCATGTTAACCACATGCCAGTGCTGGTTCTGTGTCCACATTGTTCAATGTCTTTGAATATGTCCTTGCACTTGAGAGTCTTAATCCAGGACCCAAAATGTCTTTTGTCTTTTCTTATCAGTCACAGACTCAATCATAGATACAGTGCTGCTACAAAAGACGTCCCTTCAGCCTCAAAATACTTACGCATTGTTTCAAAAGCATGAGAGATGTACTGTCCTTATTTGCCCTCCCCTCACCAAAGATTCAGTTTGAACATTTGCAAGAAAGCCATTGAAAGTGTGCCTTAAGTCTCCCGCCCTCTGAGGGTGTGTTTAGGCTGGCAAAGAAGAGCAAGTGTTTAAGAAAGCCACACTTTAAAGAAGAAGAAGATCCCCTTGGAGGAAGCAGAGATGCTTCGCCAGCAAGTGGGCTCACTGTTGCTGCAGGACGGCTGACCGGCTAATCAGCACACAATGTAAACAGATGTTGATACTGAGCGTCCCATTCACACTTCTACACAATTAAGATCTTAAAAGAAAGACTTCTCCCTCATTAATCCTCATCTCAATCCTTTCTTCTTATCCCGCAGCAAAGCCTCATGTATTAGTGTTGTGGTAAGAAGGATGTGGACTCTTATCCAGTGTTTGCCCAAGAAAAGCGGCTAAGACGGAGGCATCATCACGATTAGCTAATGCTAACAATAGGGGAAATGTTTCCTTTAGTGCCTCCTCTTTTCTGTGCTGAAGTGGGTGTAAAAACCAGAGTAAACACAGTCTTAGGCCGCGGACGTGAAGGGAGTGGGAGATCACAAGTCTGGGTGAATAGCAGAGATTTACCCCAAGCAGAGTCCTCTGAAAATAAACCTCCCCGGCTCTCCTCTTGTTGTTCAACTCCCACGCCTCCCAGAGCTTCTCCGCCATGCTAACGACCCAAAGACCAGAGCTGCGTCCGAATTGCCAAGTAGTAGTCGAAGTAGTAGTCGAAGTAGTATCTAGCATGTCCGAATTGGCCACCGGAGCGAGTAGCATGCTACTTCAGATACTACTTCAGATGCTAGACACGCCCACATTGTAGGTTGGTCTCGGTGCATCCTACGGACATGCTACTGACCCAAAATGCACCGCGGGCTTCTTCTTCGTCCTCTTAAAAGTTGTAGAAGCGCATGTGATGCTAGCGCCACCAGCTGCTCTGCCTATTTAAAAGTGTCGCGAACGCCGGCTGGCCACAGCAGCGCGCACCATGGCGGAGCAGCAGCAGCAGCAGGCGGGACCGCAGCAGTACAGATGTAAGTTTCATGTAACTTCACACACTGTCCTAAAAAATGTGCGGTTGTATCTCTTTGTCATGTCATGGTGTCATATTTGCCCAAGTAATCATTTTATGAGCAAATATGTGGCGACATCATGGAGGTAAAGCTCACTTATTCCATCATTAAACTGCACAGCTGCAGTACTACAGCCAGGCCCGCAGATGAGGAGCTTCAGTTACCACTGTCTGCACGGGCGCAGTACCTACTCTCTGCCTGCGGGGGTCGTCTTTCCCCACCGCTCGTCTAGTGTGTCCGAATTGGGCCAACGTTTTTAGTATGTAGGAGTAGGATCTAGCAGTAGCACGTAGCAGTAGCATGTAGTATCCGAGCGGGCAGTTCGGACGCAGCACAGGTGTGGGGAGGCTGCAGGTGTTGTCGCATTTAGGCACATTAGGCACTGACACACACCAGCGCTAAGAGTAATCGGATTTACCTGGCTGTCTGCTGCGTTGCGTGGCAGACTATGCAAGCACAGCACAAAGGCTTAGGGCCCCCTCTCCATCACGAATGCACACACAGGAACACACCTGGGATGAATTTAGGAGGTGACAAGGCCTTCATAGAGAGGAACTACCACTGCTAGAGTAGTAGCGTGTGTGTGTGTGTGTGTGTGTGTGTGTGTGTGTGTGTGTGTGTGTATGTGTGTAGAAACAGAAACCAGAACAAGAGCCCGTGGCTTTTTTACACCACGAAGCACACAAGTGGCGACAGACACTACAGGCTTCTGGTTCAAAGCAACCGGGGTGGGGGGAGGGAGGGAGAAAGAGGTTTTAAAGGGGGGGGAGCCCTTTCGTTTTGCTGACCCTCAGACTGCCGGAGCTCATGGGGATTGAGCTGTGGTACTGGGTTCAATCAGACAGAACAGGACTGCCATCTTTAGGGACTCCCTATGTCCTCAACACCTGAGGCCAGGAGGAGGTGTTTTACACAGCTATACTCTCATCTGGGATCATAAGCACTCCTGAGCAGAGTCAGGATCAGAGAGCCCGCATGGACGCATCAAGGAGAGCCAGCTGAAGCTATTCAGGCTGTTTTTCAGAAGTCAGGAATCATGTCTCACAATACAAAACGCTTTAAAACTATACAATTATGACAATACTGAAGCATATTATAGGGCTGGAACGATATGCTTTTCTACTGATTCGATTCTTCTACGACTTTTTGGATGCCGATTTGATTTAAATTGCGATTCTACGATATTGTCGATTTTTGAATTGTCTTATTGACATTGATATTGTCTGCATTTATAACACCAGTGAAACAGTTGAATGATTATTATTGTATACTAACTATTCTAGGAGCCATATTTCCCCAAAAAATACACATCATATGTGAGTCAGTTTTTAAGATTTACTATGAAAAAAGGATTTTTGAACATAAAAATTGAACATAAAAATTGTAAAACAAAAAATCGCGATACGTATGAGAACCGATTTTTTCTCCCACCCCTAATATAAAAAAATATATTGTGATACATTGACACAGCTGATAGGATATTATTAAAGCAATATTATACCATAAAATAGGAGATAAAACGACACAACAAAACCTAATATAATATGATCAGACATCATATAGCACTATGCCATGCTATACAATGTTATTCAGTTTTTATCTCGTGAGTGTTTTCCAACTTAATTATAGTAAAAAATCATCTAGGCTACTTAATTACATTAAGTTTTAAAAAACAAAAATCACAATTGTTTACGGTTGTCTCTTTAAATTCTTAAAATATACCATTTTTGACACAGAAGAGAAATGAATGGGATCCTTGAGTTTAAATTTATGTTTTTATGCAACATATTTCCTAAGGAAATAAAGTTTATCAAACTGTTTTAAATTTTGGAAGACCTGATTTTTGGCGTGTCAAAGATTGGCTATAAAAGAGCAGCGGGATCTTTGAACATCACACAAGCATCACTTCTCTTGTCGACCGGCTTTATGGCTGAAGTTTTCCAACCTCTTGAGTCCCGATGCACAAAGAAAACCTCTTGAAGCTCTACAACCCTTTTGACTTTTTCTTGCTGCTTTTGAACTCTCCATTTCAGACTGTGACTTTTCCACATGACCCCAAGCCTCAGATTGACCCCCCTACACCCCCCCGTCCTCCGTCCTCCTTTTCCCCCCTCTCCAACCCCCTGAGGCTTCAGCGGCGTGGAACCTCCAGAGCTCCTTCACACATACCCACACACATACGTAAAATGAGAAGTGGCAGTGTTGCTGAGTTAGGTCAGGATGTAATGGGCAGTAATGTTCTCCCCTCGAGGGTCCTGTCCGCGGCTCCATCGCCTGGTTTTTAAGTAACCTTCCCCCTTAAAGAGGCACCTTGGTTTTACTCTCAGGCACCCAAGCATCAGGGAGTAGCAGCTAATGAAGTGACTGAATAAATAAAGTTACAGTACACAGGTTGGGCTCCACTGGACTTTTCATTACTGCCACTGGATTAAAATCCTTCTGTCCCACTCTGTCTGCCCCAATTCAGAGCCAATTTAACCAAACTAAACAAGCTATCACATCAAATCCTTGTCTGCGGGCTTAGTCCTGGCTACAGTGGCCACTGAATTAACCTCCTAATCAGCCTCTTACTCCCCAATCATCTATCTCCTGTTCCCCCCTTTCTCACATACACACACGGCTTCTCTTTCATCTGCCGTCTATCTCACCTTTTCTTTCAAATTATCTCCAGTATCTCACTCAAGCCACAGCTCTCCCTTCCCCTCAATCTCTCAAGCTTCATCTCCATTAGTCTCTCGCTTTCTCTTTCCCTCACTGTCTTTCTCTCACACACTCTCTCCGAGTCCCACAGAGAGAGAGAGAAAGAGAGAGAGAGAGAGAGAGAGAGAGGTAGAGTAGCAGAGTAGGGGGTGGTGGGGTTTGACTCGGCGCTGCTTTGGGGCTTTGAAGTGTGTGTTGATGAGAGAAAGCGGAGTGCTGTGTTCAGACAGGCCCCTAATGAGGGAATTAAGAAGCTACGCTGGCCGTTCCCCATACTAACTTCCCAGGCACAAAACAAGACAAGTGTGCGTGCATGTGTTCAACAATGTATGCGCTTGAAAGTGTGTGTGTGTGTGTGTGTGTGGAGGAGAGCGAGTATAAGAGAAAGGCTAATCTGTCAGACTTCATCAAGCATCTGGCAGTCCTGCCTCTCACCTACAGTAAAAAGACAAACTTGGCCTCAGCGTTTCGAGGCGCTGAAAACATGTCCTTGAGCTTCACAAGTTTTCCACTTTTAAAGACAAATACGACCTTCGTTCCAAAACAGGCGAGACACTGAGTGAAATGTTTATAAAAACAGAAATATGATAGTTTGCAAATCATTTAAACTCTTTATTTGATTAAAATACTGCAAGAAAAAAAGTTTTGAGAAAGTTTACCACAATGCTTCATCAACTTAGGACTTCATACAGGACAGTTTAGGACCCAGGCTCTTCTACTACTGAGCCATATTGTTGTAATACACGCAGTATGTAAAGGCATTGTCTGGATGACAGAGCACTGGTAGCAATCCAGGTGGTCCCTCTCCTTTTTTGAGCAGAGAACATGACAGCTATGATTTCCAAACAAATGTCACATTTTGACTCAGCGAACCACGAGACAGTTTGAGCTTGAAATTTGAAGTCTCGAAAGTTTGTGGGTCATGTTGATATTTGTTTTCCTTTTGGCATGGCACAGTTTTAACCTGCATCTGTAGTCACAGACAATGGTTTCTGGAAGTGATTATGACCCCATGCAGTGACATCTACTACAGAGTCATATCTATTTTGATACATTGCTGCCCGAGGCCCAGAAATCCCTGGTATTGGTTTTGTACTTTTAGGATAACAAAAAAAATTTAGTGTTTTGCGGTCACTGTCAAAACTTTTTCAAATGTGTCACTGGCATAGTTATTTCTAGTAAAACAATAAATTCCAACTTTTTAACTTTTCCTTTGCACCCTTTCCGACTGAATATAGAGTTTAAATGATTTCCAAACCATCAAAATTTGTTCCTATTAACATTTTACTCAACCTTTTTTGGACTTGGATTTGTAAACGGAATTTTTTGACTCGTGGACTTACGATAGTGTGAGTCTAGGTAGCCATTGCGGGGGTCCATAGCGAACAGAGTGCCTCGATACGGCAGAGCATGGTCCGCCAGCTGGGGAAGAGAACTGTGCAGCTCCTTCTTGAGCAGAGAGGGGCGCTCCTCCGTGGAAGTGGATGGCTCCTCATTTATGGTTCTGTCGCCTGGTGTCGGTGCCTGGGAGCTGATAGCGTTGCGTCTCTCGCGGTGGTACGGCGTGCCTGAACTCTCATCCTCTGCAGAAAAGGAGAAAGAAAATATAACGTGAAAATGACGATTTTTTTTTTTAATGAGATCAAAAGATGTGAACAGGTGTGAGAAATGAGGTTTTATTCATGCATCCGTGCCGACGCCACTCACAGCTGTTGTGAAAACCCAAACACATGGAGAAGCTGGTTCACACAGAAGGCATGGGTAAAAGGAGGAGCAGGAGATCAGCTCTGTATACCTGAAACCTAGTGGGCATTATGGGTGTAAATCTGCAGGGTTTGCCTTCCTCTGCCAGATGTGTGAGTTCAGAGACAAAGAGTGTTTGAGCAAATGGACACCAAGGCTGACATGATCCTAACCTCTTCATTTCACACAGCTGAGGCAGGGTTTTCCAAAAGTCTGTTCTTCAGCACTTGTACTGTATGTCAGTCCTGTTATTGATTCCCATGGAGGAGGCAGCACCAGGTTTCCTGCTGGCAGCCAAAGCTGCCCATTGAAAGCTACCATGTGTTGATTTCAGCTCCACCCTCCTTCACTCTCTCTTTTTACTCCTTTACCCACTCTCTCTCTCGCTCTCTCTTAGACTAAAGCTGAATCTACTCAGGAGGAAAAATAAGGAATAGGGAGTAATCTCTGTGCTGTGTTGAGTAAAAGGGGATAAAAGAGGAGTTGAGTTCAAGGGCTGAGCTCGACTAGGAAGACGTGAACCTTGACACTCGACCTGACCTCTGAACTGACATGTACGAGGGTCAGCTGGCCCTCTGACCTGGTATTAGTCTTTTTTGTAGTATAAGAGGGACAATCCCAATTTCAAACAGAAAAAACATGGTTGTAAATCATATGAGGATATTTAAAGAAGGTACTAACATTTTTTTAGAAGTCCAAGAAATAACAACACCAGTGAGCCGCCAGATGTTTCTTCTACCTTAAATGCTCTGGTAGAAGACAAGTCTCACAAGAAAGTCTGCAGTTGAGCTGACTTATAGAGAGGACTATATTTAGCATTAAATGATCGATATTAGAGCAACAGATTAACCAAGGTTTTATAAAACTTTGAGCTTTTTTTTGCCTTTATTTTGAGGGACAGAACAGTGGACGGATCAGAAAATGGAGAGAAAGCTGGAAAGGTGTTCTTAAGCGGGCTGAAGGTCAGAAATGGAAATGGGTCATCCGCCTGAGGATCATTGTATGTGAGGTGATTTGACCACTAGGTCAAAGTTTTGACAGTAAAGGACTGGGCCAATGGCGAAACCATAAAACTAGCTTAGAGGGAGATTTTCATTCCACCATTATCGTGACCAAAAGTTCTTGGGAATTGAAGTCAAAAAGTTTTTCAGACTTTCGCCCTTTAGTAACAAAGTAGTACTGTGAGGTACTGTTGAACCATTATCTTTCATTCAGTCCCAGAATCCTTCATAGTCTGCCCTTGTGACCATATTCAGACTCAGTTTTACACAACCATGATGGCATCATGCAAATACCTTGAGTTGCATTGGGTTGGTGCGCCAAAATGCTCTCCCGTAAATACTGCTGTGTCGGCGCCAAAGTTTCAGCGGAATTAGCAACCCAACGGTGCAAGGCTCCCCCACAACACACTGCAACCCAACAGCATCCAACCGCCAATTAAGCACAGTGTAGAGGGGCCAGATTAAAGAGCACCACCTTCAGCACTGAAGAGGGCTGCCACAATGCCGTACCACTTCACAGAAGAAGAGACGCGATCGGAGAGGGGGAGGTTAAGAGAGAGGCACAGAAGGAGAGAATAAGATTGAGAGAGTGGTAGAGAGAGCAGGGTAACAACCCACGGGTCCTGCTTTTATTCCCCTCACTCTCCCACATCCATTACCGGCGTTCGGGCCAGCCGCGCATCAGCGGAGCACTGGCAGCAGATTCAAGGATTCTTAACGCGGAACTGACAGCCAGAGAGGGAAGCCACTCTCATCCGCAGGAAATGACAGTGTCAGTTATGATATAAGTATTTAATCCTATACTGCACAGCCAGTGATCTTATTAAGGGAATAATGGCACTTATACGGTTAAAGCTGGATTAATAGGTCTGCTCTTGCAAAGCGCAATATTAACATAAAGGGATTTTGGAATTGGGTTCATTGCCTGACATGGATTGAAAGAAGTCGAGACCATAAAGTATGCTAGGAGCCAATACTGCGAAGGGTAGAGCGTGTAGCTTTGTGCAGCACAGGTTCCCTCTTCTACATCCAAAAATCTTGTGTTACATCTGGGAAAGTAAAACCCATCTCCATATTTATAAGCTCTTTCCAACTTTAAAGCAGATGTTTGATGTTTGATAAATATATTTATTGCTAGATCCCAATGAGAGGCTCCTGGGTGCTAAAGCTAAACTAAAACATCTCAGCTACAAAGAATGATAAGACATTTTTCCACCGTTTTTATTCATCTCCGTCACTCTCTTTCTCTTTTTTATTTACTTTCACCTCCTTCCCAGTGATCCCCACTGCTACGTCCCTCTCCTTCAAGGGAGGTCAAGCGACTAATAGTTCAATCACAGCAGTGTCACAGCCCCACCTTCCCCCCCTCTGGTCACCATGGAGGCCCCCCTGGGGGTTCATCATTCTACCATATACCACCTTAAGGGGGTTCATTACTTGAGTTTATAGCACCTTAAATGGTTAAACAAACACCCAGCAGCACAAAGGTCAATTGACTGCTCGTATGGAGGAAGAGAACCACAAGTCCCTGGTAAGGTTTCTGTTCTGTGCAGGGGGTACAAGAAAAACCAGCACCGTTTTGAGATGGATTGTTTTAGAACTGGTAAGAGTGGTGGTAATGGTCTGTGCCTCCAACACTGTGGGGAGAATAACTCTTGGGTTTCATAGTGCGACTAGGGATGTTACAAAATGACTAATTAAGTATCTATGTGCCAGATAAACTAAACAGACTACAGATTTTCAGTAGGGTGACCATACCTCCTCTTTTACCCGGACATGTCCTCTTTTTGGGGGGCTGTCCAGGTTTGTCCAGGGAAGTTTATAAAATCCTACTAATGTTCGAAGTTTTGTTTGTAAGCTTTGAGTTTGTGTCACGTGGACTTACTGAGTTAGAAGTGCATAAAAGACACTTGATCCAACCCAAAAAACTCTCAAAATTAACTTTGTGCGACTACGTGACTCTACCTCTGTGTAGTCGTGTCCTCTTTTTGGGGATTCAGAATATGGTCACCGTATTTTAAGTAATTGTTTAGTTAACAACCCTCAATGATACATCATGAAACCAAGGGGTGGGAATCACTAGTGGCCCCACGATACGATATTATCACGACACTTGGGCCACAATATGATATTATTGCGATTTTTAACAATTTGTAAAACAGTGAGTATTGCGATACAATATATTGCGATTTAAACACTTTCTTCAACTGTTCAGCTAATTTAGCATGTAGCTTTCCTCTATGTTTGTCTTATCTATGCTGTTTTTTATTTTCATGTAGCACATCTTGCAAATTCTATTGTATTTGTTGCACTAACTTTCTCCTGCTCTATGATGTCACCTCTGCCAACCTCCCGGGACAAACAGTTGATTTTATTTTTTCAT